AAATATGCCTTAATCCTTTAAAGTGCACCTACACCCAAAAAATTTTTTTCGCTTAACGAAGTAAGCTTATTTTTTTGAGTATTTCTGCGCAAAAATTTTTTTATTTGCTCAAATCTTCAATTTTCTATGCCCAGTCAAAATACGGAAAATCGGCCGCCATCTTGCCCCACGACCGAGTTTAAAGAAGAATGGCTCTAGCGGGTAATGTGACGTCAAATCGAGAACACGAAAGTCTGCATCTCACACATTTTCACTTGTTTGGGAAGATTGTCGTCGATATTGTCCGAAATATGCCGACTAGGTGTGTTGTATGAAGAATGTATGAAGCGCGATACCCTCTTGCAAATTTCGCACGTTGCTACATCCTTCTACAACACACTTAGTCGGCATATTTTCGGACAATTATCGACTACAACCTTCCCAAACAAGTGAAAATGTGTGAAATGCAGACTTTCGTGTTCTCGATTTGACGTCACATTACCCACTAGAGCCATTCCTCTTTAAACTCGGTCGTGGGGCAAGATGGCGGCCGATTTTCCGTATTTTGACTGGGCATAGAAAATTGAAGATTTGAGCAAATAAAAAAATTTTTGCGCAGAAATACTCAAAATAATAAGCTTACTTCGTTAAGCGAAAAAAAATGTTTTGGGTGTAGGTGCACTTTAAACAACTACACTACAGTACACTGTAGCAAAGCTACCTCGGTCTTCAGTTTGCCATTTCTTTATAAGAAGGTTACAAAAAAACTTTCAATCTTTCCAAGATTTCCTGTCATTTCATATTTAATTTAGTTATCTGATTCTTTTGGCTGTCATAACAGATAAAACAAAAATTAAAGAACTCTGATAACAGATTTGAAACTTAGAGTATGAGAAATGTGTATTTTGCATGCAATCTCAAAACTATGAATGCCAATACCACAAAACAATCATTGTTATATTGGCACCACCTTGCTTTAACTTGACAAACAATGATGGCAATGTTTTTTTTTTCAAATGTTAGTTAACTACTATCATTGTGATGCAGATATTTTGATGCTGACCAGGCAATAACTTGTTGAGTGTACTGTAGTAATGTCATTACTGTAGAGTGATTGTAGTGGTAGTTGTGGGAGAGAAAGCCCTAAACTTTCCAACCTTTTAAACTGGTTATTAATTAATAAAAGGCATACAGGGTAATTCAATTTAGTGTCTCTAATTTTTCAAAACTCAATCTGATACCATACCAAGTTGACGATATTACAAGCTGTAATAATTAAATACTTATCATAAGTGTTTTCAGCTTTCTTTATGGAAATAAAGGGTTCATATTAGGTCCACTTAAGCAGTCCACATGTTTCCTATTATACCAAAGGTTGTGCCGTCCATGATCACTTAAAGAAGAGGTGTCCATCTTATAGATCTGAGAACAAAAACTACCAATTTTCTAGCAAAAAGTTTAAAAGTTTCCTTTCCTATTCTTCCTTAGTGCTGACTTACCAAAGCTCCTCACAGGCTCAACCAACTGAAAAAAGATTTCCTCTCCAACTGGAAGCTCTCTTAACATACGTGCTACATCATAGTGCCTGGTGCCCACAACAGCGTTGTTGTTTATAGCTTCAATATGATCTCCAACACAAATCTGAGCAACTCCATCAGCAATGCTTCCTTCTTTGATGCGTTTGATAAATGCGCTACCAGCTCCGTTATCTGTTATGGTAAGACCCAAGGCTGGGCTTGTTTTTAACACTGTTACAGTTTTGCGTTGTCCTTTAACATGAGCAAAAATAAAGTCATCTAGTCCAATTTGACCTCCAAGTAACCTTTCCATGTCAATTCTATAGGTATTTAGTGTACAAAACAAGATCTGGAAAGAAATGAAATTTTGTCAAGTTAACATTTAAGAATCCTATAAGTCAAGGTGCTTGAACAGTTGTCATGGGTTGCAAAATAATTCCTCCCTATAGAGTCATGTTTAATTTATAACCTATCCCTGTGATTGGAATTTTCTTCATTCCTTGAAAATCCCAACAATAGAAAGTTTTCTCCTGTATTTCTTATGTATTAACTCTGTTTACGAACTAAGTGGCCCATCAGACCAGAGCTTAATTCTGGTTTCTATCCCATGAAGCGACTAGGAGTATTTCTACTCCCCCCTGCATAAGATGCTAGTCCATCACCAGGATACCCCCAGCATTAAATTTGCTGGTACACATTTAAACACCTGGGTGAAGAGAAGTGCTGTGAGAGTAAAGTGTCTTGCCAGAGAACATCACGCAATGTTCCCACCCAGCAGGGCACTAACTATGAGGCCACACCTTCTACACTTGCAATGTATTGGCAGGATAAAATCATTGGCTCACTGGGTATGTTTTCACTTCCGCACTTGCAATGTATTGGCAGGATAAAATCACTGGCTCACTGCGCATGTTTTCACTTCCAAAACAAATTTAGAAATTCAATTTTTAGCTATATGATAATCATGCAGGATCTTGATCATGTTCTAGGGAAGGTAACTTGTGTGTGTAGAGAAATCAACACAACAGTGGTTTAGAAATTTCTACTGGGAGGTAGTTGTACATGTCCAGCAAAAAAATAAAGTCACCATTACTGATAAAAATGTCTACTTTGCTGCACAAACAATCGCCTTGGACACTGCCATGCAGGATATAACATGTTAATACTGTTTTGAAGAAGTGCAAGAAGGATGGAAAAAAATCCAAAAATTTTGGTTTTGTCAACTGAGCTGATAATGAAAATGAGTTTCCAGGGGTTACCCTGTGAGCTAAGGCTATATAGTGCTCCAAACATCAACTTAGAAACTCTTCACAGTGGCCAATTTACTTATTTGACTCAATTAATAAAACCAAAATTATCTTGTTATACCCACCACTAATGCAGCACCAAAGTTTCCTTGGAAACATACCCATTCAGTCAATTTCTCAAAAACTTAACCTAAAGTATTAAATTTTATTGGTTATCACAAACTAAATTTCATAGCAATATTCATGAAAAAGTACTCCAATAACACACTTCTTAATTAATAGCAACTTATTTTATTGAAATGGAAATTGTAAATAGTAAAATGAAATGTCAAAGTCTTGAAGGTACAACACACACACACACAAATGCTTCAAAGCAGAAGCCTTATGGATTGAGGTACATAATAATTGTCATTCAAACTTACTCTGTGGAATAATTTATAGGCATCCAAATGGTGACTTAGAAAGATTTATTGAATATGTGAGCTCCACAACTGATAGAATTAATCAAGAAAACAAAACTTGTATAATCATGGAAGACTTTAACATAGAACTTTTGAAATTTGAATCACACTCAGCAACTGAAGGTTTCCTTAACACTCTGGATTCTAATTTTTTTCAGCCTTATATAATGCAACCAACACGAATCACAAATCATTCAGTAACTTTAATTAATAATATTTTTTTCAATTCAATTGAGCATTTTACAATCAGTGGTAACATAGTGTATGATCTCTCTGATCACCTTCCTAATTTCCTAATTTTTAATAAATTTTCATCACTTCCTTGCAATGTTAAAATATTCAAAAGAGATTACTTTAAATTTGATCAGCAGGCCCTCATAAGTAAGATGCAATTGATTGACTGGGAAACTATTTTGTATCCAATAATAGTGCATGCAATATGTTTAAATCTTTTTACTTTAAAATATGTAGCATAATCAACAAAGATATAGACGTCAAACAACTATCTAGGAGGGAAGTAAAGCTTAAATCAAAACCATGGATATCTAAAGCTCTACGAAAGTCTATTCAAATTAAAAATAATTATTATAAGAAATACCTTAAGACAAAATCTATATATTACCATACAAAATTTAAGCTTTACAGGAACAAATTAAACCATCTTCTAAAAATAAGCAAAAAACAATATTATAATAAATATTTTTTTCAAAACATTAAGGATGGCAAAAGGATCTGGAAAGGTATTATGCAAATAGTAAAATTTAAGCTGCAAACTAGCCAAAGGCTCATTTAGATTGTAGAAAACAACTTAGAAATAACTGAACCTAAACTTGTTGCCAATGCATTTAATGATTATTTTCCCAATATTGGTAAAAACCTAGAATGTGAAATACCAAGTGTATATCCAATAGCCCAATGGTATATCTGAATAATCCTGTATGTAATAGTTTTTATTTTTTTCCTGTAACTTGTAGTGAAATTGAAACTGAAATATCTAAGTTAAAAACTGGCAAGTCTGTAGGGCCATTCAGCATTCCAATTGATATACTACAAATGCTAAAAGCCTATATATATAACAAAACCTTTGGAGATTTTTATGCTTCTTTTTTAACTAGAGTTGTTCCCAGTGATTTTAAAATAGCAAAC